GTGTGTGTGTGTGTGTGTGTGTGTGTGTGTTTGCTAGAGTGTGTCAGTGTGTTGATGATTGACTCAGCTGCCGACAATCACAATCACAACAATAGATTTGCCGGAACAGGTTTCCATTTAGACATGCAGTGGCAAACATGCTACAGCTGTGAACGTCAGTCAGTTAGGTAAATACAAAAATAACATCTGGCTTTAAACAGAAGCAGTGAAGCGTAGTTGATGATGGGCCCTGCTGTATGTGTTTATGCGCAGGCTGTATAGGAGTCTTACTTTCATCTCTATAATGGTCTGCAGGGCCTTAGTTTTACTTGGGTCCTGATGCAGTTGATTTCTTCTGTGCAGTTCCTTAAAAAAAAGACAACAATTTGTAGCAGCGGTACAGCAAAACCGATCGTGGTCTCCAATGAATAGCTAGATTATTAAAATTTCAAAAGCTCACCTCACAATGCATAAAAGCTTTATGCTTACACATGCAAAATATTTCATGCAACTGCTCTTCAGTTCTTTTACTTCATACATTACATAATTGTTATGATGCAGGGATAAGCAGCAGAGAAGAGAATATTGATTTTGTGACATGCTGCACTGCCATCTAGTGACAACAAAACAAAAGAACAGTTTTTTTTTTTACTCTAAAGCAGTGAATGCAATGACTTAACATCATCATCTTAACCCTCGACATATACTACCTCTCGCAAATGGATGTTTTCCTTCTCCTTTTGATCCAGAATGACCTCCAGGTGTCCCAGTTGCGCCTCTGCTTCTGCAATGCGCCGGGCTCGTTCTTGCTCCTCCTCCTCGGTCGCCCTGCCCGGGCCCGGGGGCAGCCCTTTGCTCTGTAGCATCTCAAGCAACTTCTTAATTGACTCATCTCTGGCACCCAGGGTTTGTTTCTGGGTCTCAATCCTCAGTTCCATCTCCTCTAGGGTCTTTCTCAGCAGGAAGAGCTCCTTGGCCTGTCTGTCATGTTCAGCCTGCAGCCGCCGGAAGTTCTCCTCTGTCAGCTCAATGGTGGTGAAATGCTCAGACCCAGAGCGGTTACCGCTCTCCTGCTGCAGCAGGTGGTTGAGGTCTCGCTGTGTGCGCAATTCATCCTGCAGAGCTTGGATGGTCATCTGAAGATGCTACAAACACACACACATATACAAACACACACAGAGGCTTACCAATTATTGAAACTATTTTTAGGTATAGCTCATAACCGAACATTACGTAATAACACTACACATGGGGATGAACAAACAATCCCACAGCAGGTCGATCATGGGGAACACATGACTTACCTTGGCACGCTTTTAGATTTTAGGTTTATTTGTTGAAAAAGTGTGAAGCACGGATCTAATTTAAGTCCTGACTGCATAGATTTACAGTTGTTGGAGAAAATATCTTTAAAAAGAATTCACAGCTTCCAAATATAAATTTATTAGTCTGTAAAGGGCTTTATTATACACAGAAACACCCTGGTGCTCTCACAGGTCTGACTTTCACACTGAGAAAGCAGGGACCAAGTGCATGTACAATAACATGCACATTCAACTTTATGTAAACTGGTACATATAAGTGAAGAAAGTGTGCAGATGAACTAAAAAAAAAAAACTGAACACCCTGATATTTAATTTAATTCTAAATCTAAATGATCATAATCATCTGTATTCATCAAACATAAAGTGAAATATTCCAAGCCTTTTTTGTTTTAAATTTGATTATTATCCCCTCCGTGAATCGCTAACTTATCGTGGTGGAGGGGTTTGTGTGTCCCAGGGATCCCAGGGGCTATGTTGTCCGGGGGTTTTTGCCCCCTGGTAGGGTCTCCCATGGAAAATTGGTCCTGAGTGAGGGACCAGACAAAGAGCGATTCAGAAAACCCTTATGAGGAAAGCATCAAGGGAACAGTTTACCTTGCCCGGGATAGGGTTACCGGGGGCCCGCCCTGGAGCCAGGCCCGGGGAGGGTGCCCGAGGGCGAGTGTCTGGTGTCCAGGCCTTAGTCCATGGGGCCCGGTCGGGCACAGCCCGAAAAGGGGACATGGGCCCATCCTCACGTAGGCCCACCACCTGCAGGAGGTGCCGTAGGGGTCGGGTGAATTGTGTGCCGGGCAGCGGCCAGGAGTGGAGGCCCTGGCGGACTGATCCCCGGCTACCAAGACTGGCAATTGGGACAAGGAATGTCACCTCTCTGGTGGGGAAGGAACCCGAGTTAGTGCGTGTGGTTGCGAGGTACCAGCTAGATATAGTCAGGGTCACCTCTACGCATGGCTTGGGCTCTGGAATCAGTCTCCTGGAGAGGGGCTGGACTCTGTCTCAGTCTGGAGTTGCCCCTGGTGAGAGGCGGCGGGCTGGGTTGGGTATTCTAATATCCCCTCGGCTTGCTGCCTGTACGCTGGGATTCTTCCCAGTGGATGAGAGGGTTTGTTTCCTGCGCCTTAGGGTCGGGGAACGGGTCCTGACTGTCATCTGCGCTTATGCGCTGAGTGGCAGTTCAGAGTACCCAGCCTTCTTAGAGTCCCTGGGTGGGGTGCTGGAGGGTGCTCCACCTGGAGACTCTGTTGTCCTACTGGGAGACTTCAATGCTCACGTGGGTAA